TAATAAATACCTAAAAATTAAATTAATAATATTAATTTTTTAATTTTTAAAAAAAGAAACATTTAGCTATGTAATAACTGATGTTTAGGTATTTGATTGATTGTATTTTTAATTTCAGTTTAATTTTTTTCGAGGATTTCGAAATTTGCTTTATATTTCGAATATTAAATTATTTATTATAAATAATAATATATATAGAATAAATATTTAATAAAATAAATATAAAATATTTTTTAATAATCATATTAATGATATCATAATATATATATTACATATACATATACTATAAAATTTATCTTACCTGTGTGATTTCGGGAATTTCTTGGATGGTTTTTTCTGTGGATACCACAACTATTCCGAAATTGCTCTTCTTCGTTCCACTTTTGTTATTTTTCTTTGTTTTACTTTTGTTTTTGTGTTTGTTTGATTTCGTTTTAGCACTTGCGTTGGTTAATTTCACAGTAACTGGGTCGTAATTACTACGCAAGATTTTATTAATTCTTCCTAAAATATTGTCCACGAAACGATTATATTTCGCCACATAAATCGATGATACATCGTTATTTGGTTGTGAATCCATTATACCTGAAATTTACAATTACACACATATTATTAATGTATAAATTTACACTTACAAATGTAATTTTTTTTTTAATTTTGAAAATATCTATTCAAATGAAATATTAAAAGTATTAAATTATCTCTGTTACATTGAAAAGTGAATTTTTTAATTTTAATGTTAATATAAACATTACAATATAACTTAGACATTACAAATAATTTTTTAAATATAATTTTAAAATAATTAATTATGATTATTTTAATAAAATTTTACATTTCATATTTAATTAGAAATTTTTTTTTTAGAAATAATTTTAATTTTGTAAAATTAGATTATTTCCTTTAATATGTATATAATTTATTTTTCAAAAAGTAAAAATCAGAGTTGAATTAATGAATTTTTGTAATTTATTTGTTATTATTTAATATAACGTTATATTTTATTATTTAATATAATGTTATATTTATATTATATAATAAAAAAAGAAATTACAGATTATAAATTAAATTAAGAAATCATAAAACAAAAGATTATGACTTTAATTATTAACTTATTAATAATTAATTAAAATTCAATTTTTGTTCACATAATTTGAATAACGAAATATGAATATTTTAAAATCTGTATTATAAAAATTCATAGTTAGACATTTATTAAAATCATTTTTGTAAAATATTAAATATTTCACAATATTAAAATATGCTATAGGAACTCATAATTATGCGTTTATTAGATTAATTAATTAAAATCAAGATATTTGACTTATAAAAGTTCTTATCTTTGATCTCATTTTTACACAAATATTATAGTCTTTAATGACATGTGTAATAGACTATAAACTAATGGTAAATCAATGTCATTTCATATTTTCTAGAATTAATTTCTAATTAATTCATCACTTTCAACTATTTAAAAAGCCAATGAATATATAATTCAAAGAATACATTGTAATACTTTCTTTGGAAAGTGTTATAGTATTTATGTTGTACTGTATTATAGTATTTTTTATATTTTAAATAATTCAATATACATATCAAAAAACAATATTAGATTTTATTTTTTAAAATCTATTATAGTTCTTATAATAAAAAAAAAAATATTTATTCTTATTTTTGATTTTCTATAACCATAAGGAATATATTATAATTATATAAGTATTATAAATACATTGTTATATGAATTTTTTATAAGTTTAAATATTAAAGAAATTTTTTTTTTTAATTTTTAAATATTTAAAATATTAAATATAATAATAATGAAAAATCATTTTAAAAGTAAATCTTAAAGTGCTTTAACAATTTTTATATAATTGTATTTATATATTAAAAATATTTATAAAATATTGAAAATTATTAAGACATTNTATATTGAATAAAAAAATAAAAAAATATTGAATAGAATTATATAAATGAAAAACTATATGAAATATTTTAATAATTAAAAAGTACATTTTGCACTGTCACATTTTTTCATATTTTTTATCATAAATATATTTCAAAAATTATATAATATATTTTATTTTAATAATTTATTTCATAAAATAATCATTTATTTTTTTTATTATATAATATTTCTATTAAAATTAGAAAATATAAAAAAAAATATAAATATAAAAATTCTAATTTTTATTATATTTTTTCAATATATAAAAATCAAAAAATAAAATGTTATGATAAAGAACATTGTCAATTGAACATGATAAAATAGTTTGCTTTGTCTAAAATATTTCACTGTTTTAATTGTATCTTTTTTAAGATTAGATGTTATCAATATTTGCATTGACGTATATTTCACCAAACATGACCCATATTTATATTAAAATATGCACGTGAAATACTTGTGATGTAATAGATGTTAAAACATACTTATTTTTTTTCTTTAATAAATTTTTTTTCTTCTAAAATTCTTTTAAAGTATAAGTTTTTAAAATATAACATTT